TCCCTTAAAGCCCTTTACTAATCGTTTTCTTAATTAATTCTTTAAGTACGATTAGGGCTTTCTACTAGACCTTATAGCGATCGAATTATAGCTAGAACCTTTTCTTAAGGTTATAAAAGGAGTCCTTTATATCCTAGTATCGTTCGTTATAGCCTATTCGCCTTGCTAGGAACGTAGCCTCGGTTTCTTTTTCTCGTTAGGAAGGTCTCCCTCTAAGGTTAATAATAAATTGCTCCTAGTCCGGCTATTAGGGTTATTTAAGCTCCTTTATACCGTCTAGGTTAGTATATTCCTAAATCTCGTAAGTCTAGGCCTACGATTTAATCCCCCTAATCTATAGGGTCTAATTAAGGCTTTCCTTTAGTCTTACGATATAATTATCCCTTCTTACTTCCTTTAACGTTATCTTAGGAAAATAAGGGGTTCTAGCTTAATAAGTAATATCCTTCTTTAAGGGATATATAATTATAAAATATATAATTCGTGTATTTCTAGTAGTGCCCCTTAGTATAGCTAGGTTCCTTGCCTTAATACTACGATTTAAGCGTTATAACGGCGTTAATAGCTCGTAAATAGCTTTAAAGGTAATATCGGCGGGCAAAAGATAATCTAGCCGTGTAGGCCGGGCTTATAACTCTTAAGCAGTAGCTTAAGAGCATAGTGGAAGAAATAGGGGCATAGAAAGGTAAATTTAGTGATGCATATCTTGGTCTATCTATTAGGATAAGGGAGGGGCTTATATAGGTATAGTGACCACACATAGCTAGCCAAAAGAGGGCATTAGGATATTCCTATACCTAAGTTAGGCCTATATAATGTCCTTGGGCTAGGGGAGTCATGTTGGTCAGGCAGGCTTCCTTGTGCATAACTATTAGGTCTACTGGGCATGACTGTGGCATCTTATGCCCACTCTCCTTAACAGTATTAAATATATACGATGTGTATAATAGTTTTTGAAGAAGAATGGCATCTTACCTATGAAATCTTATAACTAAGATTATCGGAGATAGCTTCTTACAGATATCCCACTAAGGTCTGTAATTAAAACATCATGAGCAGATATAACTTATATAGATAAATATGAATGTACTGTAAATAGTTATATAATTGACTGAGGTACTGGCTGTTAGCCATGACAGCTTCGTACTCTAACCAAGTACGGTTCCTGCAGGTCTGAAAACTGGTCCAGTTGTCCATCCCAAACGCCCCTGCGAAGATGTTCACCAACCCTAACCTCATAAATTGACCTTTCTTATCTGCAGCAGATCCAAGCAAAAGACACCAGTCATTCCAATGAGGTAGCTAGTGGGTGTCAACTATAACCGGTAAGCAGTTCAGCTGAAACGTCGATACTTTGCAGTCGAGACTGATCCAGATACTCGGGTGCCTTTTCCACCACACCCCATTAAAGAAAGCACATCATTCACTCTCGGAGCCCTCACCAAGTCGTACCGTCGAGAGCCAACCGGCCAGCCTTAGTGACCCTCGCACTACATTGCTGGTGGCGTCACCTGCAGGGCTCTCAGTCGTGCAGTCAACAATGTCCACTAACGCTTCCATCGTGCGGTTGAACTCTTGGCCGTAAAACCCCGGTGTAATGGGGCCATCCAGGCCAGCTCAAGACCATGACGGCGCTTGATATGGTTCGGGTCGTGGAACATGGCGTTGTTCAGAACCGGCTCTGAGCCATAGAAGCTGCGTCACCAGATGATTCCTCCAGAGTCCAGCGCAATACCGGTCATTGAAAACCTGCTCCATGAGCTTTGCAACGCCTGAAAGCGCAACCAGTCTGTCGCTGGTATACGTTAAATTGCAGCTTGTGTGTTTCCCAAAACTCCAGCCCAGAGTTTCTTCAGACTGTCTTCTGGAGCAGCTTGTGGAGAATTGTGCATAGACGTGGCACGGAGCTCTGAATAGCGGGTAACGTCCCATATCGTCTCTCGTGATATCCAATTCGGCGTTAAGTTCGGTGGTATACCGCCAGGGTAAGTCTCACGCCGCCAAGTCGTAGCACTCCCAGAATAGCTGGGTACCGTCTAGATAGAGTATCCTTGGTGCTAGCAGTAGCGCCTGGCAAACCCACGCTCTCTTCATCAGAGGCATAGCCTTGTAAGCGGAGCGCCAGAAATCATCGTGGTACAGGTGAAAGAGGTCATTTCGACAATCAAGCCACACGGTCTGTATAGCACATGGTGTGATGAGTGACGTGCTTCTCCCAAGAAAGCAAGTGGGTTCACTGTCTGCAGCGACGCTTGCAGCAACGTTGACAGTTGCATTTCTGCACGTTGCTCATCAGAGATGCGTCGTGTACCCAATCTTCACGTGAGTCTTGAAAGATGCACAGTAAGTCTATCCAGAGAAACTGTATCCCGAGAGCCTGTGCCGTGGATATAGAATCTTGGAATGTCTGGCCGAGTTCCGAGGCCGCTCCGCCTCGCTGCAGGCGTTGCAAGGACGCCGACGTCAGCCTCAACACATGTGAGGTGCCCCAACAATGACTGAGTGTTGCGTAAGGAGTATGGAACTCTTGTTTTGGATGAAGAAGTAACGAATCTTGTCAAAGTTTCGCTGTCCGATGTGGAGGAGGCGAGTCGGAATTTTCTTAGTTGACGTTGAACGTAGAGCAAATCGACACCTGTCATGACTTTGCAAGCACCCATGTAGCCACTTCTTTGCTGGAACTATATTCGTACACCAACCATCGTTGCCCGGCAAGTTCTCCGTTCCAAGGATGCTTGTGGCCCCTTAAACAGTGTTATTATATATACTTTAATGTTGTAGGGGTGCGGACAAACTATTTACTGTATGGGCTGCTGGAAGAACATAGCGCCGTGAAGGGCATTCTCGACGTTGTCCTTGTCGACTGTAAAAGTGAGCTCCGAGATATCATGGATATTGTCACGGGAGCGGCTTGATGTGTGTCGGATATAATATTGTGAAAACGGTCTTAAAGGGGTAATGGGGTTTTGGAGAGTTTCTTCAGCATCGTGCCCGGATGTAACTTGCCATAAGACTCGACAAATTGGGCACGCATCAAGAGCCGCTTGCCTGAGCTGGTGGCGATGAGGATGATGCTCGCACGCCTTGTGAGGACAGGGGCCTCGGAAAATCTCCCGATAAGCTGCACACAACATTGCCATTGGTGGATATTGAAGCAAACGTTGGGTCTGATGACGGGTCGACGTATGCCGATACACGCAGCGTACCGAAGCGGGCGGGGTCTTACGTTCTTATTAGTAAATTTTAAGTTATAAATATATATATATATATATATATATATCGTGTATGGCGGTAGCAGGTAAGGTAGCCTTGACGGCAGGCCGGGCAAGTCCCGCAGTGAATGGGAGGTCTCCGTGGCTCAGGAGCCGGAACCCCTCGACCCTGTATGACCGTTGTTGTGCGGCACCAAGCCACAGACGATCCTAAAGCCCATTCTTTGTTCTGTCATCGGCCCGACTCTACAGCAACAAGTTTCGGCAGTTCAAGGGCGACGCGGAGCACATGCGCCACTCACTCCAAGGATTCGACGTCAGGCCAATGCGCGAAAGGGCTGTTTCGACTGGTACACGTCTTCATTCATGTTTTGTCCCGTGGCGAGAGCGCATCCTCTTTGCATCCAACCAAGGCGAGATCGATGTGACACATATTGGCACTTGGGCAGATCCCTGTGATCGTGCAATGAGTTTCTTGCTATCCAACAACCAAGCATTGGCGCAAAACATGAGTGTCCGGCCCGCTACCCTTTTAAAATGGTCCAACTTTGAATTCGATGGAGACGATGAGTTTTGCAGGTACGAAGTGTTGGCTGACGCATTCTACCAACATGCAGAGTGAAAGTGAAGATTGGGCGCTTGAGCTGGCCGTTCGGATGGGACCGGAATTCTCTCCGTGTAACTCCGGATATCAGTAGACTTCCGCCGCCCTTTTACTGCCGCGTGCCTATAGTTGCCGGCCGTTTCATTTACCAGCCGTACATGTAAGTTGTCCATTTACGGTGGTGGCCGGTCTCCTGCAGCCTTGTGCACATGGGTTGCGCCTTCTAATCAGCATCTGGCTGCTTCCGCGGAAGCATGCGACATCTTCACACCAGGCGCCGGGGTTAACCTCCATGTAGCATCACCAGGGTAAACAGATCCAAGAGTAGAGCCACATGCAGTGCAGTCTTGTGCCTCGGTACCAAGACAATGTGTTAATTACACGAGGCTTAGAAAGTCACCCTGGCAGACAATCAAAGGAGCGTGCCCATACTGACAATAGGTCAAGCTTCAAGTGGCCCACGGCTTGTGTAGGCCATTAGCTGATGCTTTATACTTCGCTGTCAAGGCCATTTATGTCTGCCCACATTCTTGGTGAGACGTGGAGCTTTCCCCAAAGCCAAGGTTGCCCCGTGCCTCATGCGTTGCAGATACTAGATAGGCTCGTGATGACGGGCACAGATAAGGAGCACCCATCCCACTGGCCTCCGAGCTCGACGGGACGCAAGGGGGACTGACACGGCGAGTTGCCCCCGGATCTGTCCTTGCAGCGCCACCATTGGCCGGTTGGCCGGACCCGCGAGCCCACTTAACTCTTATCTCTGCCGCCGGTTTGGCCGTCGGCCTCACCTGTGATTGGCCGCTGTGGATCTGGTCCCTGGAGGAAGCCTATCTCGCTATCCGTCAGTTGAAACAAGCCTCAACCCCTTCCAGCCTCATGCGCACCTCGGTTGCTCGCCGCCGGCGGCGCCAGTCACCGAGCTGTGATAACGATCAACATTTGCGCCGACAAAAAGCCACTGTGGTGTGCGAGTCAAGATACAAAATGCTTGAGCTTGCCAACCGAGTTGCTCTGGAGCAGTCTCCTCGCAAGGGGCAAACGAGGGTGCTGTATCGATTGCTTGCGTCTTCCTTGAACCGCCAACTCAACCGCCAAAACCCCTACTCTCGTTTTCTTGCCTCGATCTTTCGAATTGAGTGCGTCACCAACCCGTGTCTGAGTCTGGGCTGTGCCCGTAATCGGTCATGGCTCCCTACCTGCAGTCCAACGACTTTTCTGCACCCGGCGACGTGGTCAGTTGGCAGCCCGAGACACCCCTCACCACCATAGAAGATTGGCGGGCTGTCCAGTCAGGTGGTCACGGTGGCCTGGCCAGACTTCTGTCCATCGCCAAGTCCGAGAGATCAGCCAATGCAGAGACTCATGCTTGGGTGTCGCTGGCCAGTGCAGAACAAATCCGTGAGCAGTGGGAGTGGTTGGAATCACAAAGAACCTTAAACGACGCGCTGCCCTTATTCGGCGTTCCCTTTGCCGTCAAGGACAACATCGATGTTCGAGGGTTTCCCACCACAGCAGCCTGTCCGGCTTTCGCGGCCGAGCCTGCGACGTCTGACGCTCCGGTTGTCGCAAAGCTCAGGGCTGCTGGAGCCATTGTCATTGGCAAGACAAACATGGACCAATTTGCCACAGGCTTGGTGGGCACCAGGTCACCTCACGGTGCCGTGCCCAACGCCTTCGACCCCGCCCGAGTCAGCGGAGGGTCGAGCTCCGGCAGCGGTGTCGTCGTCGCCCGCGGAGTCGTGCCCTTTTCTCTCGGAACAGATACCGCTGGTTCCGGCCGAGTGCCGGCCGGCTTGAACAACATCATCGGACTCAAGCCGACGCGTGGCGCTTTAAGCGCCCGAGGCGTGTTGCCGGCGTGCAGGACCCTCGACTGCGTCTCCATCTTTGCCCTCACTGTCGAAGACGCCCAGACCGTCTTGTCCGTGGCCGAAGGCTATGACGGAAAAGACTCGTACTCTCGCTCTCGCCCCTCGCAAGGTCTCCTGCCAGCAGTACCTACCTTTGGGACCGCGAGCCTCGGGTCCAGGCCTCCGTCTTTGGCCATCTGCAGCCAGCCAGACTGGTACGGCCGAGATGACCAGGCCCCCGCGTATGAGGCTGCCCTGTGCAAAGCACGAGCCTTGGGTTGGAGGCTGACGCCCATCGACTTCTCCGACCTCTTCGCCCTCGCCAAACTGCTATATGAGGGGCCGTGGGTCGCCGAGCGGTTCGTCGCCATCAGGGACTTCATCGAGCAGGCCTCTGAGAAGGACATGGACCCGGTCGTGCGGGGAATCGTGGCCAAGGCGCGCCACTTCTCCGCGGCTGACGCCTTTGCCAGCGAATATGCTCGCCAGGACTTGGCCCGCCAAATTGCCATGGCCCTCGCTGACTTTGATGGCCTGCTTGTCCCCACGGCTCCGACCTTCCCCACCATCGAGCAGGTCCTCGCCGATCCGGTGCGAGAAAACTCTCTCCTCGGGACCTACACAAACTTTGTCAACTTCCTCGACTGGAGCGCCATTTCGATCCCCGCCGGCTTCCGGCGCGATGGACTGCCCTTCGGCATCACGCTCATCTCGAGCACCTGGCAGGAACCCAAGCTGCTGGGGCTGTCCCAGCAGTGGCTCTCGGGGGCGCGCACTCGCAGGCGGCTGGGCGCTACCAAGGCCTTTAGAGAGGCCGACGTCTCCTCAGCTGCCGGCGCCGAGTCGCTTCACACGCCCATCGCAGTAGTCGGTGCTCACCTGACGGGCTTTCCACTCAACAAAGATCTCGTGTCGAGGGGCGCTCGCCTGGATATTGCGACAAAGACTGCGCCCATGTATCGTCTTTATGAGCTGAGCTCGGGCGAGGCGGGCCCGAAAAAGCCAGGACTGGAGCGCGTCACGTGCCCAGGCCGCGGACAGCAGATCGCCGTCGAGGTATGGCAGCTGCCCTGTCAGGCTCTGGCCAGCTTCATGGCGACAATCCCGCCGCCGCTAGCCATAGGCTCCATCGAGCTGGCCGATGGCCGTTGGGTCCATGGGTTTGTCTGCGAGCCCGTCGGCCTGCGAGGCGCCCGGGACATCACCCAGTTCGGCGGCTGGGAGGCCTACATGCAGCATTCGCAAGCCCACGGGGTGTGCAACGGCGTGTGCAAGAATGACTCGCGACAGTCTTGCAGGGCGAAGAGACAGGTGTCGAGAGTGCTTATCGCCAACCGCGGAGAGATTGCCGCGCGCATCGTCCGAACTCTCAGGAAGATGAACATCGAGGCCGTCTCCATCTATACTGACGTGGATGCCGACACGCCTCACGTTCGCGACGCCGACCTGTCGCTGCGCCTCGAGGGAGATTCCGTGGCGGAGACGTACCTGAATGCGTCGCAGGTCATACGGCTGGCAGAGTCTGCTCGGGTAGACGCTATCATTCCTGGCTACGGGTTCCTGGCCGAGAGCGCTGAATTCGCTCAGGCAGTCGAAGACGCAGGCTTTGTCTGGATTGGTCCGACGCCAGAACAAATGTCTGACTTGGGCCTGAAGCATCGCGCCCGAGAGATTGCGGCAGCCGCGGGAGTTGCCGTCGTCCCGGGAAGCACTCGGCTTGCCACATCGCTGTCCGATGCCTGTGAAGAAGCCGAGCGACTGGGGTTCCCGCTGATGCTCAAGAGCACCGCTGGAGGAGGAGGCATCGGCCTTCGGTGCTGCCACGACTCCGAGGCACTGGCCGATGCTTTCAACGCCGTTCAGCGTCTTGCTGCCGTCAACTTTGGCGAGTCTGGCGTCTTCTTGGAGCGATACATTGAAAATGCCCGTCACATCGAAGTACAGATCCTCGGGGACGGTAACGGGCGTGTCCTGGCACTGAGTGAGCGCGACTGCTCCTTGCAGCGAAGGCACCAGAAGGTTGTCGAGGAGTGCCCAGCATTCGCTGTCCCACTTCAGATTCGAGCCAGCATGAGGGCCGCCGCTGTTCGACTTGCCGCGGCTGTCAAATATCGCAACGTTGGCACGGTTGAATTCATCTACGATCTTGATTCTCAAGAATATTACCTCCTCGAGGTGAACACACGCCTTCAGGTCGAGCATCCTGTCACCGAAGCCGTCACGGGCCTTGATCTCGTCGAATGCATGCTTCAAGTTGCTCGGGACGACTGCAACCAACTCTTTAGTGACAAGTCTGAACCCATAGCCCAACGTGGAGCGTCGATTGAAGTCAGACTCTATGCAGAAAGTCCCCTGGAAAACTTCAGGCCCTGCGCGGGAACAATCACAGACTTGGCATTCCCCTCGCATCTCCGAGTGGACACTTGGATTGATGTAGGCACGCCAGTATCGACTCGCTTCGATCCATTGCTGGCAAAGATCATCGCTACGGGTGGCGATCGTCTGGAGGCTTTGCGACGACTGGCGGCCGGCTTGAAGGAAACGCGGATCGGAGGTGTTGAGACAAATCTCGAATACCTTCGCCGCATTGTTTCTTGGTCGCTGTTCGAAGCGGGCAACTACACGACCAAGTCCTTGGATTCCTTTCAACCCCATGCTCCGTCTTTGCAGGTAGTGGAGGCGGGGGCCATGACCACGATCCAGGACTATCCCGGAAGAACAGGGTTTTGGAGTGTTGGGATTCCGCCGTCTGGGCCCATGGATCACCTGTCATTTCGATTGGCAAATCGCTTGGTCAACAACAGCCCAGACGTCGCGGCTATAGAGTGTACTTTCAAAGGCCCGGTACTCAAGTTTCATTGCGATACCGTGGTCGCAGTCACTGGTGCCAAAGCACCAGTCGCAGTGGACGGTGACGCAGCGCCATTAAATCGGGCGTTTCCGCTGCGAGCTGGGCAAACCCTTTCAGTAGGGCTGGTGGAAAACGGATATCGTGTTTACGTTGCTGTGGCTGGAGGGATCCAAGTCCCCAAGGTCATGGGCAGTCGAGCAACATTTGAGGTGGGGAGCTTGGGATGGAAGGATGGCAGCAAACTCCATCCGGGTGACATCATTCCCATTGGAACCGGTCAGCTGCTCAAGATTGACTCTGAAAGACTCCCCGCCTGCCCAGCTATACCCATTCCCGACCAGCCAAGCGCAACTTGGACGATTGGAGTCGTGCCAGGCCCTCACGGAGCCCCGGACTACTTCACACAAGACGGGTTGACAACGCTCTTTGCTGGCGAGTGGCGTGTCCACCACAACAGCAACAGACTTGGCGTACGCTTGACAGGACCTCGGCCGCAGTGGGCGCGTCAGACTGGAGGGGAAGCGGGCATTCATCCGTCTAATATCCACGATAGTCCTTATTCGATTGGGAGCATCAGCTTCACTGGGGATGAGGCGGTCGTGCTGACTTGCGACGGGCCCAGCCTCGGCGGCTTCGTTGTTTTCTGCGTCGTCGCTTCGGCGGAGATGTGGAAAATGGGCCAGGTTCGTCCGGGAGACACCATACGGTTGCGTGCCGTGGACACTGCGCTGGCCAAGCGGCTCGATGAAGAACTCAACAGTGCAATTCAAAACCTCACAGAGCTTCCGAGGTTGGAAAACCTTGTCCCTGCGAGCGACGAAAACATCATCCCTATCTCACCTATGGTAGAAGCCATCCATTACAGTGACGATGAGAAAATCGTGGCTCGCCAGGCTGGAGACCGCGCCATGATTCTCGAGTTTGGACAAAGCGAAATATTCGACCTCGGTCAAAGCTTCAAGATACAAGCTTTCTGCCAGCAGCATGCCAAAACACCCATCGAAGGCATCGACGAGGTGACGCCAGGTGTACGCACCATCCATCTAATCCACACCGCCGGGCTGTCTCCTCGGACCATCATCGATCGCCTCTCCCTTCACGTTTCCTCGTATCATGTTCCCACTCGAATTGCTTCACGGACCCTCCATCTCCCGCTCGCGTTTGACGACTCGGTCTGCCGTGCTGCTGTTGACCGCTACGCAGCGAGCATTCGATCAGAGGCGCCGTGGCTGCCCAGCAACGTGACTTTCTTGGAGGAGCTCAACGGTCTGGACGACATGTCAGCTCTGCTGTACGATGCGACGTTCCTCGTCTTGGGCCTGGGCGATGTGTTTCTGGGCTCCCCTTGTGCCGTTCCGCTTGACCCACGCCATCGTCTGTTTGGAACAAAATACAACCCTTCGCGGTCCTTTACTCCGCGCCGTTCGGTGGGCATCGGTGGGCAATACATGTGCATATATGCTACGGATTCTCCTGGGGGCTATCAGCTCGTTGGACGAACGGTGGACATATGGGATCCCAAGTCTGTTCACACGGGCGACACGCTGCCGACGTCCTCGGACCCTTGGTTGTTTAGGCCATTCGACCGCATCAAATTTTATTGTGTTAAGGAGTCGGAGCTTGATGCCGCGCCTGCTTCAGAACTCATCAGAATCATCGAGGGGGAATTGAACCTCGCAGAGTACGAGGCGTGGATCGAGTCGCAAAAGGATGATATCGCAACAACGGCGGCTCATCGACAAGAATCTATTTCACGCTCCCCGTTCCTGGAAGAACTGCGTCAGCCTTATCAGCCCAAGGCTGTGAACGGTGCCACTGTATGTCCTTACGGCGCTTCCGATCTTGAACTTGGTTCCGGGGGCGAAAAGGTCAAGGCCATGATGCCGGGACGGTGTTATAACTTTGTGGTGAAGGAGCAAAGCATCGTCAAGAAAGGCGAGATTTTGGTGAGTCACACCGTTGTTTCGTTGCCAAAGCGTACGTTGCTGTGTTTTGATCTTGAACTGACGGATTAAAGATGTGGATCGAGTCGAGCAAGATGGAGATTGAAATTCGTAGCCCCGTTAGCGGCATTTGCAAAAGCTTTGGTGCGAGGGAAGGCGACTTGGTAGATGCTGGACAGACTTTGGTTGTTTTAGAGCCTACAGGTGATGAATCTTCGGGGTAGAGGTGGATGCTGGCGTTGAAGGGGTATTCATTTGGCAGGTTCGGTTAATAGCGGTTTGACGACTATACCAAATATTCGATAATGTTTCTCTTCGCCTGCGCACAGCCTTCCCCGGCTGCTTGATTCACAGGAATCCCTTGCTAGCTATTGAATGGGCCATTTCATGGGGTGTCTATTGCTGATCCGCTGCTCTTGTTCTCCGCGTCAACAGTACCTGTCGACAATAGACAGTTACGCTCGTTTCAGTCGACGTTTTGGGATGCTTCCCAACCGCCGGCTAGCAAAAGAAAGAGCCAGGGACCTTGTTTTCAGTCATGACGGTTAAAGTTAAATCAGAGGCAGCCGAGTCGGCAGTGAACATGAGACTTTCCACTGCCGCCGGATTGCGGTCCTGCTACAGCTGTCTGCACAAACTCGCGGCGGCAACTAGGAACACGAAAGACATGTCGAGGGGATTTTAACGCACTGCTCCACCAATTTACAGCTACTTCCGCAAGAGACAAAATGTTTGGTTTGCCCAGAAAATGCAGATATGAAAATGGGCTCTCTGGCAATATCCTCGACAATTCACAGCACCGTGCAAATTCAGACTCTTTTGGCCTACTTCGTCTTCTCGCTAAGTTGCTTCAGGGCAAGTATCTTTCATGATATGAAAGCCCCATTTCAAGAGCAACCAAATATTCCGTAGTTTGGGGAGGTGGGTATGCTGTGTCGGTTCCGAGCTCGAGACGTATGTTGTTTGTCGGCGGGCAGCCTTTCTGGGCAGAGGCATCGCCACGACTTGACGGACTGTGATCAACGACAATGGCGGTCTGATACCAGTTGTGCCTAGGTAGCTCTGAAGCCCCTTGTCAGCAATCCAAGCATCTTTCATGTGGTACGATACTCTCGGATGCTCCAAGTAGTGATTTAAATCCAAAGTCGTCCAGCGACAGCCACTTGTCGCTTCAGGATTTGTGAGCTCAGCGAAGAAACCGCGGAGACGAAAGGGAAAACGTCGTAAGGGTGACATCTGCGAAATAGGTACTTGTTAGGGGACACAAGGGCAGAGCAGGAAGCACCAGGGGGTTTCACGGGGTTTGGTGATAAATGGGGGAAACGCACGAGTCGGGATTTGACGCCCTTTCAGAATGCATGGCCACAATTTCTCATTTTACCGTGCTCGGCAAACGGCCTGCCTCTAGTGTCAGACCGTGGTCTTGATCCTGAGCGCCATGACCAATGTCATTCTTTTGTTTTTGCAGCTCAACAGAACAGAGCTGGCGGCAGGGGTTTCCAGTGCTCAAGCACTGACGTGGCGACCAAAGCGGAACAAAGAGGTGCAGCAAGTGTAGACACACCTGCAAACGCTTGAGCGTCAAAGGTTCTTAAGCGACTCCTCATAATAGGGCCAATTACTGCCCGATACCTCGCACTTGAGAAACCGCCAGGGGCTTTGGGAGAAAAGGGGACCGACGGTTTCTTTTTCCAGGCCATCATGTTGCCACCGTTCTTGTGGGGACTGAAGCTCGCGACTTGAAAGAGCTGTTTGTTACAGAAAAGACAGCTGTGAGGCTTGAAATTTACGGTTTTGTTTGCGATCGTTCGAGCGGCAGAGGGTTGGCGTCGAATCTTTCAAGGCAGCATCTGTTCCTCCTGGTTGTTGGCAAGCCGCCTCAATCTGCCGCAAGGTTGCCGGGATGCTCACCAGTGAGAGAAGCCGTTTTGTGGCAAAAGACAGAGGCTGGAGGGGGTTTTAGATGGTGACGGAGGCGGTACCGGAAGTCCGCTGCTGTGATTTGGCGTCGGCGAAGCTGAGCCTGAGCTCTGCCCTTGGGCCGTCGATTCTTGAACCCCAACGACCTGGAGAAAGATAGTTGCGTCTGAGATGCCGTTGTGCTTGGATTGTGGTTTCTAGTGCAGCTGCTTGGTCCATCCGGAAGTCGCCTCAGTCAAGCCAACGCCGGGGGGTTGGGGGAGGAGGGGGGAGGTTTCTTGCGCGTCCTACTGATTCACAGCTCTATTCAAATCCTGTTTTCCTGCCATCGACGGCTGTCAGAGGCCCCGGTGGTCATGTGCTGGGGCAGGCGAGTGATTCACGGCACGCCGTTGCCCTCCACCTCCTTGGGGTTTGTTTTGATTTCCCCTGACTGGCGCCGGGCCGTCGACTCTGAACAGACTGCTGGGTTCCCAGGCAGCCACGCCTCCCCAGCCAACTATAAAAACCCCTCTTCCCCCCACCTCTCCCCGACCTGAACCTCTTCCCTCTTCACATTACCTCCTCTGCACACAGCAGACAGAGGCATCGCCTTTTGGCACCTCTTCCTCTGCCCACAGCAGACAGAAGCTTCATTCATCTACTTGTTACTTTCTCCGCCGCCCACCGCAGATGGAAACATCATGTCGCCACGCCTCCTCTGCACACAGCAGACAAAGACATCACCCTCTACACACCAGTTGTCCGAGTTGCTGTCATAGCAGCCCGAGATGTCACAGCTGCATCCAGGTATGTCTTGACAGTCCCCTTCTATCCCTACCCTTCTCGGCCTGCTCTGCCATCTGCCAAGCGGACTCTGTCGACACAAGCCTCCCCTCGTGTCACCCGTTGCCATCCCTCAACCATCACTTTGCAATACGAAGATGCCCTCAACCTGCTTTATGAAAGCTAACAAGAGACTTGTCCCGACAGAAAGTATTGGGTCGAAACTTTCCACAGGTACAGCCAAGGTCAAGGCAAAGGCCACGGTTATGGCTACCGTTCGAACGACCGGGAACCTGAATACGCCTTTTTCGTATGGCTCTGGCGCACTGGGTATGCTTGCATCTTCTCTTGGTTCTTTCTCTCGAGGCTTACAGCGCATTGTGCAGGAACAAATACACGCCCAAGAGAATCGTCTTCTGACTACATCGTCGATCGCTTCTGGCACCTAAAGGCGGCGGCCACCAAGTCGGGGCTCACAACGCCTGACGCTGACACGTGTCTGCCCTATGCCGCGCGCCAAGTAGAAGACCTCAAACGACCACGGATATGGTCATTGAACAACAGGGTCAGACGTGGTAACTGTGGCTTAGACCGATGGGGAAGAGACGGAAGCGTCGAGGACGACGAGTCGACCCAACGTCGATTTGGTTGATTGCTCTTCTTTGATGGGCACCGCAAAATTCAGCAAGATATGGGAATCCGGGAGCTGCTCCTCCATGAACGACCCAGGCCGCGGCGGTATGGGAGGTCGATACGGTCCTCCTCTATCCACACCATGTCGATGATAGTCGGGTGGACGTGGTGCTTTGATAAATCTCTTCTCGCTCCTCGACGCTGCAGTTTTTTTCACAAGCCCCTTGACGACCATCCCTGCACTCTGTATCGATTTGACGCCCTGCCGTGCCCAGATTTGTGCCGGATTACATCCGGCCGGGCTCGGACACGTCAGACTTGAAAGAAACCAGGCAGCGGTTGCCTGCTCGTTTGGAAACCACCTGGGCTGGGAGCCAGATCTGATCACTATGGACGACATTCGGAGGGTGGGCAGGCTGGGGGGAAACCGGACATCGGCTGTCCACAGCTGCTGCCCAAGCGACCTTCGCAATCGTCGCCATCCATTGGGGTGGTGGCTGCTGGGCTTTGGGAGCTTGACCTGATCATTGTTGGCGGAAGATGTGAAACGTGACGACAACGGAGACAACGGCCAGTGGGAGTTGGGCAACGGGAGGCCGGGCTCTTTCTGGTGCATGATAGACCTGTCACCACCTCGTGCATCACGGCAACGAATCTCTCGGGAGCAGCCTTTATAACACGCACCAGTAATGCGGTTATTGGAGATGGTGGCAGTTTGGCCTAGTCTAGTGTTATCGAAATGCGACATTGGAGGAATATCTCAGCCTGTTGCAACAAGTTTAATCTTCAAGCTACTATGGTGACATTCAAGGTTGTATGGCCGAATTCGGTGGGAGATGGCATATTGTAAAGGACTATTGAGGCAGATGGACTTGTTCTGTTCTACATGCGCTCATATATAAATGAAATTTGGCGTTGTAGCAAGCATGGCGTCCGAATGTTTCAGTCACCATTTTACTCGTTTATTAAAAGTCTTGATTATGTCGGCAAACAAGATCATAACCAACGCCGTCGAGTGTCAACGGCTTGGAGACATTGAAAAGTTACAGCCCTGCCCATTATGTAGTCTTCAATTGTACAATGGCTCTGCAAAAGGGTCGAGCACGCTCACGCCAAATCGCCTTGCGAGCGTGTCCGGCACCTTGCTGTCCCACTGTAGTTCCTTCGTTACCGTTGAGAGCCGGAGGGCCAGTAGGCAGCCATTCGTGTGAGAAGCTGCATTCGCTGTTCTTGCAGATCGTATTTAAAATGTGCCTCGCCCACTTGAAGCTCGCGTGCAGATTTCGTCTCACATCAATGTGACGTCGTTGACTTGCTTCTCACGGCGAGGTCATCGTGTCTCCGAGTCAGCAATGTCCATGGTAGGCTGAGTGTGATGGTCAAGAAGCGGTTTGACGCCGTCAACTTGAACGAACGGCGCATGTATGGCACGAGCTATTGGAGTAAATTCCTCTAATGCCCAACAGACCTTTCCTACAGCCTCAACCGTCTATGAGACTCATGTTGATGCAATTGTAGAAGGACTCAATAGCGCCGTAGTAATCCGCATTCCAGACAGACTAAGCGCCGTCTCCTATTTGTGATGTGGCACACGTACTTTGAGCAACAGCTCACTTATTTGCACATCTGGCGGAAGGCGGACTTCTATCTCTTGGAATCAATCTATTTGGGCCAAGTGCGTAGGCTTTCACGACAATTCCTTTGCACGCCTTGCCCGATTCATATCCGGTGTGGTCATTCACGACTCATGATCCGAATTCTATTTTACACTGTATTTGCAAGGGGATCGTCCAGCCCGTGTCTAACAAACGACCGTGGCGCGTTCGTATGCTGCGTGTATAACAAAGTCCCTGGCACGGGTAGCAAAGGAGGCATTTGCGTGCAGGGGAGAGTGCGAGGCGCAATGCCATGATCGATAAGAAGAGCTTTCCAAGCGTAAGAACTTGAAACGACACCCAAGCCAAATATATCACTGTCATGTCATCAGCTGATTTACAAGGTATCAACCAGTGTTTCTTCCTGTCCTCGCTCGACACGGCATGTGACCACTTTGTGGCACGGGCCGAGAGTGGGATGGAAGCCGAGTTGTGCAAGACCGTGGTCTCAGGTTTTTGAGGGGCTGCACTGCAAGAAAGCAGCACACGCACGCCCTGATGATTGGCTTCCCTCGACGATCGGTAGCAAGCGAGAACTGAAGGGATTCTATCCATCGTCTGCCGGCGGACCTCTTGGTCCAAGCTTCGAGGGCACCGAGGGCCGGGGGCGGAGCCAGGGTTGTCAAGTTTTCATGTTCCACTGCCTCGGGCAGTAGCAGCTAGATCCTCGAGCTCCGTTGCTTTGCTGAGGTGCGCCTGCGACTTCATAAACGAAGCCCGGTCGTCGGCTATCGAATGATAGAGTGCGTCGGGATTTTTGCGAAAGAAGGTAACCGCCGTCAAAACAATAACCATGATAAGTAGGATAAGCAGGAACACAGCGTTAAGAATGAAAAGAATAACGCCAACGATACCAATGAAGAGCGGATGGGCGTCCAGAACGTCTGAAAAAATGAAAAGGAAAATCGCGTTGATAAAGTTAATGGCGTAGATAGCTATGTTGAACGAGTTTGTGCCTTTATCCATCCAGGGGCGAAGCACAGACGTCGCGATTAACAAGGCAGCTTCTAGAATAATCAAGCCAATAGCTTGTACAACGTTGGCCTTTTGGGCCAAGCTAACGAGAATTGCTTTGACGAGAGCGTGGCAGATAAGAGGTACGATGAAGTAATACGCCGAGGCACGAAAGTGAACATAGAGAAACCCTAGTTTGCTGAGGATTCTCGGGTTCGAGAAGAGAGTAACAGCCGGGTTCCTGTAAATCATGTCGGACTGACGGGCATTGCGAATAACGTTGGCTGCAGCCCATGCGAGACTCAAAGCTGCACCCAGGAAGATGAAGGTGGCGAGAACAACCTCGGCTGGAGAGTCGGCTTGGGTGAATTCCCAGAAGCAAAGGATCGCTACTTGAGGGAAGCTGAAGAACATGATCCTGAGAAGGATGCCTTTAATAACTGAACGCCAGTTGGTGCGAAAGTCGAGAAACCTGTTTTCATCGATCCAGTTTTTCTTAATGGCAAACTCGCAGAAGCCCTTGAAGCCAAAAGCGACGGTGACGAGAAGAATAACAAAGAGATATAAGAAACATATTCCAGTCATGAAGAAATTTGTAAACTCGATCTTTGACCGAAAGGCGACGCGTTTAATACCGTAGACGACATAGGCACCCGAACCCGGACTGGCGTTGGCACGCTTCTCGATGAAAGAGCGAAAATTGTTGTCCAGAGATTGTGCTCGCGCACGATTGAGGTATCCAAGGCCAGTCGTCTTCATATCTTCAATAGATCGCTTGGCGACCTGGACGGATATGGTCGTCAGAGAGTCAAAGATGCTGGATGGCGTCCCTCCCGTGGCCCGCTGAAACCAGCTTAAGGCGGTCTGCATACAGGCAACGCGAATAATTCCCAGAGACCATTGAAAGTTCATAGTCCAGGCCTGGGCGACTGGCGGAAGATGGACACTCGAAAGGCCAAGGATAGCCTGAGCTTGAAAGTAGCCAAACAGCGAGAGAGAGTTGGCGGCAATGTGCGCAGCTGTGTGGGAATGGCCAAGCCCACTGGTGACGGCGGATGCCAGCATCGCCAGACCCGCGATTATGGCAGTAGCCCACTTGAGTCCAAGGAGGTTGACCGTTTTGCCGTTGGAAATCTTCGCCTCGACACAGGCAACACTCTCACTCTTGCCCTCCGAAGTCAAATTGATAAATACCCGTGCAGTAGCATCAAGGTCGGGAATGTTATAGGCGATATTTGGGATTTGGCGAGCGGCATTTTTGTCAATGGGAACATTGAAAATGAAGGAGAGTTTCCCGGCGCTCATAGGACAGAGACCACCCAGGTCCAGGTCTCGGTCCATGTTGCAGGGATCAAGAGTCCGGCGTATAACTTGGTAGCCATATGTAAAGACAGTGAGGTCGAATAGGACCTTTCCTCGGATGGACGACGTTGCCACGATGTTGACTCTAGCACTGTCGTTACTCGGCGTATAGACGAAGTTGAAGAGCGAGGCGGAAAAGCTGGACTCTTGCTGACACATGTTGAGCGACCCGGACTCGAGAAGTCTTTCACCCGAGGAAGGCGATATGGCCTCCGAGAGGAGCAGCAGCGCAAAATTCAAGAAGGACCGCATGGTTTTATGTCTGTTCTATATCGTCCTTGAGACGCGCGACTCGAGACTCCGCGATGCTTGAATCACTGGACAATGGCCGTCGTCGAGCCAGTCGACGCGAGTAGCCGACGGGCGGTGCCGTTACGTCGCGGGTGGTTGCGATAGGCGAGGCGTGAAGCAGCCGGTGAACGTTAACGATGAATGTCGCTCCGGCCTCTGCGAGCGGGCGAAGGATGGGGCTTGGGCAAGCTGATCGAGCGCGTGAATTCGAGTCGTGTCACATGCACGCCGCATGTCTCGGGGTATTAATGTTGGTTGCAGGCGATCGGCTGGGCCGGTAGCCCGGAGAACGAGTGTTAGCGAGCGAGCGAGATCGTGCCCTGCTGTTGGGGATTCGATTTGAACAGAATGAGTGTGGAAACACGAGATGCAAGTAGACATGGAAAGACTTCCAACGCGACTCGACCCATAAAGAGCACGTAAAGTCTAATAAAATGAACAGCCACCGGGAATTGAAGATATGACCCTGTTGACCCACCTATATGTGCCGATGATAAGGGGGCTATGGTGAGAAAATCAGTCCATAAATCTGCATAGGATTTTTATAGGGTCCACTTCAGGTCATTTGTCGGAGTGCCACTTCGCTTTTGTCTGCAAATGGTAGCAATTCCCGCTGGCAAGGGCGTTAGACTCAACAAGAAGAGTTAATATTAGCCTAGACAAGCAAAGATAACCACATTCTCTATTCGATTCCCAGCCATGTAGCCGACGCACTGGCAGCTTAAAGGGAACGACCTTGTCCATGTTCTGGCCTATGCACAAGTTGGGGGCTGTATCAGCTGCCACCAGCACTCCCATAGGCATATAGGGTCCACTTCAGGTCGTTTGCCGGAGTGTCACTTTACTTTTGCCTGCATAACATAGTGGTCTCCTCACGGATTTGCTTCCGTTATGATTCAACGGAGTATTGTGCTCTGGGCAGTGGATAGGTAATGGCTCTAGCTATAAAGGAGTATACCATAGCATACTGTCCCGGCGAAGGGACAAGGTCGGCGTAGGTGCCAGCGAACCCGCCCTGCGCCGAATCACCGTTGAGATGCGTGGCGCCGCTGATGCCCGGAAGCTCGAGCAGCCGCGGCGAGTTGAGCGCCCTCGCGGCTAAGCCAATCCCCTTGGGACCCTGAACGGTTGCTGCCCTGCCGTCGCGCACGTATCGCTCGTCTTGTACGACAGACGGGTCCCTGGCGTCGGGGCCGAAGCCGAAGCCAGGGCCACCTCGTAAGAGAGCCCGCTCCACCATCGCGCCCGTCGTCAACTGTCAGGTTTTCCCGGTCCTGGGCTCTCCCGCTCCCTGCCCGCGTTGCCAGCCAGGCCCAGGCGTCGATGTTGGCCTGCGACGTGAGCACGAGCGCGTGGATATTGGCGGCGCTGGAACCGCCTAGCTCGCGGCCCTGCGCACACGGCATTTCCAGTCCGCCGATGCCAGCCTCGGTTTTAGGGTTTGGAGTATGACTTGATCCGAAATGATCGCATGGAGGGAGCTTTGAATATCTATACATGGACATAGGAAACCTAGACAGTCTCAGCAACAAAAGAACCTTGCGGTTCAGCGACATCCAGGCGCACAGGCATCACCGTGTCCCCTGCTCCTGTTGCCTTCGCAAATAGTAAGACGGAGGCCGGCTTGGGGTAGCTCAAGCATCGACCACGGACCTAGCAACCAGGTATACTACGACCTCCGATCTGTAGCATCCCGAAGGCCCTCATAGTCAAGGCCACCCCTATGGCGCAGGCCTTGGAAAATAGCTTTGTACAACACTCGTTTAAAGTAGTATGTATTGTACTCCACGGAGTACGGAACCCACCCACCTTTGATATGGCATTTGTGTGCATACATCAATACTGCGGAGCATGTAGACCTACATTCTAGCTGACTGTACATATATATGTGTGTTCGATGGAGATGACAATCAAGTCCCGTGGCGTAGCGCCGACGTAAATCAGACATGGCGAAAAACCTACAAACCAGGCGCTGGAGCGGACTGTATGGCTTTGTGAGCTCTAGTAGGAGACGGTTTCTTGATTATAGTGAGTTTGTTCTCTTCTGCTCTTAATCTATACTGTAAGTGTATCGTACGCTTGCTCAGTCAAAAAGTCAACCAGTCTTGCTCCTTATGCCAATCTGAGAGGGCCGATTTAATATATCACATCAGGCAGAAACTGCTAAAGAATTGTATATCTGCCTGGGCCAGCGGCATTCCGCCGGTACTACACATACTTGCGCGGACGGAGTACTTTTTTTGCATACTGTCGGCGGCGAGCTGCTCGGCAGTTCTGTTGCGGGCCAACTCCAATGCTCCTTTCGCGGTCCCCAAGCACACGCCTACCTAGCACAACCAAGGCCATGCGTCACCTTTGGCTTACAGTGTACACAGAGGGTGCCAAATGGTTGTGCCCGTCAGATCCAACAGCCTGAAGCAGCCCGTTGTACCGCCACTAAGAGGGTGGGATATGGCGGCGATTCCTGCAAGGCTTTCTGATGGCCCTGCCTCCTCCCTCATCTTCGGCTCGAAAGCGTCATTTCATATATAAGACTGTTCTTTTATCGTTGACGCTAGACGGCCTTGCTTGTCTTTGGCTTGTCCGTCACATTCAGCGGCATCCAAGCCCATCGCCCGCATCTTCCTCCGGCATCTTTCAACATGTCGGCGGGCGGGCGATGGTTATAGCTCCTGGCGTGGGCCTGTTCTTTATCACCATATGCGTCATATTCTTGGCGTTGCGCTTCTGGGCCATGGCAATCTCGAAGAGGCGACTCTACCCAGATGACGGCTTCATTGTCTTCGCCTTCGTGAGCATACCCCCGAGATAAGACAATGAACGCATGGCCACCTAGTCGGCTTATCCATTGTTTCCTCCAATAAAAGGCCAATACCATCGCCTCAAATGGCGTGACCATCTGGGCCACCTGTCATGGCCTTGGCAAACACACAAACGAGGTGGCATTTTCTGATCACGTTGTCCAATACAAGGTAATCCCATCTTAGAGATTCAGTTCTAGAAATCGCCCGCATCTTCCTAAATCCGCTTGCCTCCCGGGTATTAGAGGTAGTTGCTTACACTACTGCGTGCTAACGCATTGCAGCGTCTCATCGCCGGCTCTATCACTTGGATCTTTAGCACTGTCTTCACCAAGCTCTCCGCCCTCTGGTTCTACACGCGAATATTCAGCGTGCGCGGGTTTAAGCGCTGGGCGTATGGTCGTCTCATGGCGCTAAGCGTCTTGCATGGGCTGACCTGACCTTCTTTGTCGTCTCGATGACCAGATGCCGGCCCATCTCCCATGAGTGACCCGCAACCAGGTGGTTTGTGCCAAGAATTCACCACCCACTATGTGACCTCAAGCTCTCAATATAGTCATTAACATTGCGATCCCGGCCCTACAACTTCCACTAATTTAGAGTCTCCAGCTAGCAGTTCGCTCCAAGGTGGCCGTTACTATTATGCTTAGCAATGGCATCTTGTAAGTGACTGACCAGATGGGCAGAGGCAAATCATATATAGGTACGGGGCTAACTCGGTTTAGAGAACTATTTCCACTATAATATGGAGGCTTGCGTTCATTATCGCAACGTGGATTGACGCCGACTTTGTTTATAATTTCCTCTATGTTGCCCTACTCAGCATGCTCGAAATATGGCTAGGCGATATAGTTTCTTGCGTCCCAACACTGGCGCCCTTGGTAAAGATGTACGTGAAGCCTGCATTCTCTAGCCTCTCCAGACACCTTACGCTCCGCTTGCGCCAGCGCCAGCACGTCGCATGCCCAGTTGAATTTAGCCATATCGGCCGCGCCGCTATAGCGAGCGCCAAGCAGTACGGCCACCTGAGCGACTACTCTGCCAAGCGCTTCGGGAAAGCCGACATATTGGGGACGGGCGGGGTCATGACGGACTGTAGGCACGAACCAGGGGGGCAACCGCAGGCAAGGTCTGCGACGTCATTTACGTCTAGTATGATATTGAGGCTTAGGCGTACTCCAAAACCAGGGATTCCGCAACTTCAAGCGTCTGGTACCAGGCTTAAAGAGGCATCGAAGAGGTCTAAGATGCGCCAAAAGCCCTATAAAGCCGCGTTAGGAACCATGTCCGTTGCAAGGGGGAGTATCATGAGCCTATAAGGAGGAAAGAGCCCTTTGACGTCGACATTTCACCTTACTCGACGAAAATACACTACTCTACTTTATTCGTTGCTATATGCAAAGGCTTCTTGCTCAGGGCTGTTCTTCCTTGCTCTTTCTAGATCTCCTTAAAAACACTTTTTCTCAGCGGGCAGAGGACCGTCTCCTACCCACTCGGCGACCTCGACTTTCACTCGTTCGTCCCCTACGCTTCTTCAGTCTAGATACGCAATCATCTCATATTTTGTGTTTTTTTCTTGGCCCTGTCGCAGTAACTTATCGCTAGCACTTCTGTTTATAGCCTGAAGTCCACTTATAACTCCTCTTGTCATCCTGGGGTAATACTAGAAGCCCTTTGCCCTGTGGTCTTGCTTGCTAGTCTCGACACTGCTAGCAGGCTGTATCACGTACCATGCGCCCCTCGCAGCGGCATACATATCTTATAAAGCCTGTAGCTAATCGTGTCTCGGTGGTGATAGTGGTAATAAGGTGGAGGAGAAACCTGTTGATGAACAGAAGATCCTGGCAGCCGACGGGCATTGCTGGGCGAGGCTAACATGACATCAGTGTCCGGACAATTAGGGGAGAGAGTGGCGGCAAGTGATTCCGCCACAGATGCGTTTCTTGGAAACAAGCAACCCACAGTTTGAAAATCTACTTCACAAAACCGCCTCCACGACATTACAATAAGGAGCTGCAGTGTAAGCATTGACGTGTCTCATGGCGGCCCCGTCCAAACATTCAGTCCAAGTTTAGTGCTTAAAAGTACGGGCTTGAGTAAGAGCTGCGGCATTAAAGCGGCCTTCCGCTCTGCCTATTTGTCTATAGACAGCACCATAAGTCTAGACGATGTCAATATGTGCAGGCGTCTTAATATATGTATTTAGCTCATGGAAGCTTCAGTGACGGCAAGACCAAGAAGATTCCATGTGGATACCCCGATTTCGTCATATGTTGCAGGCAATGCGTATGGCGGTGATAACACGTGCGCAACAATATTACAGGGCCGTATGTAACGGGCTGAGCCCGCGGGAACCTCGGCTTACGCTCTCAGGATGACTTTTCGCTCCTAAACTGCTAGATATGCGGAGGGACGCTTGAGCTTATAGTCCCCATTTTCCTCCCTCCTTAGCTTCAAGATACCTCTTCTACCCTGGTAGCTAGTTGTAATTAAACTTACTAAGTTATTATTGTTGAAAGTATACCAGTAATCTAACTAGAAGTATCTAGATCTTTAATAATAACCAAACAGGAAAAACTAAAGTGCCTAGGGTAAAACCTGATGATCCTCCTTGTCGGGTCTGGTGATAAGCAGGGACGCTCTTGCTATGCATAGGGAAATATGCTGTTGTGAGGGTCTCGGCTCGAATGGGCAAAAGCAGTGGTCGCGCTTAGCGCGTAAATGTTCGATACTTTATATGAAGCCGTCGCTGCAAATTGAGCATCTCCTGCAATTTAGACCAACCTCGCAACGTCGGGATGGCTCCGGACAGACAGGTTCGGACAGACATATTGCAGGGATTATCGCGCTAAGCATGGGTTAAAAGCCATCGCGCCTTGACTACAACCTGAACGGGCACAAGTGCCATTTTTCAGTCTGAAGGGAAATCCACTAGTATACAATCCTGGGTAGGCCGCTGCTGCAGTTCCAACTGCGTTTCATCCTCCTTGGAAGCCTTCCGCTTCTTGCACCGCGGCTTAGGCATATCGGGTTCCTCACCCTTTCGGGCCTTTCCGCTCTATCTGGAGACTTCCCAGTAGCAGTCGTCGCCTTCTCTATATCCTTCGTGCTCCGTGTTCGACTACGTCTCGTTTCCCGAAGAAGCTGTGGCGAAGTTGCTAAAGGAGAGGACGGGGTCGAGGAAGGGTCAGGAAGCTGATCAACTCCCTTCAGCAAATCCGAAGTGGCTCGGTCCGCTCGAGCGGCAGTATGCTCTGCGGCCTCACGGCCGGTCATGGATCGCCTTTTCGTGCTACCGTGCGATTTGAACCTCTTCAAGCCAGGCGAATGCAGTCCTTCCGGCAATTCCGTAGGCAGGAGGGCTCTTGACTGTACCTGCGCCTGGAAATCTGCTATTAGACGGTCATTCTGTAAGCGAAAGAGTCTCGAGAACTCCTCTGCCTGCTGTCCGCCGAGGCTCCCCTATACTTGAACGACCTCCAATCCCGATTGAAGAACCATGTTCCTACCGCCATCTTGGTAACGATCCCCTGGATTTTTTTGTGACCTCGGGAGCTGGCTGCTTTGCATAAGACATGGTCCAGCTGCGTACCACCGCAGGTCCGTCGAGTAACCAGCGTGGATGAAGGACATTGAGTGGGACAGGCCAGGACCTGACAACAGCCTCGTACAGCCAGTGTCGACAGGGCAGGCCGTATCTGAGTGGGAACTCACACGCGAAGGGACATCCAGGTTCGTTGAGAAGGCCCAATACCTTACGCTCCTTCTCGAGCTCAGTGTTTTGCCTCCATCTTAGAGCTTTTGCTGCCTCCCACTCCGGAGCTAGCTTGCTCAGAACATAGTGTGGAACCTTCCCGATAAGAAGGCGGAAAGCAGCTCGGTCCAACAGCCTTGGGACGTCAGCCCTGCTCCGATCCTCGTCTTCAGTGATTTTTTGAGTTAATTTCTCCAAGCTTTCGGCCAGTTTTTGACAGGATGCCTGCAGGGGAAGCTGCCTGTTGAGAGACTGTTTGACCACGACATGGTAGCTTTCGTTCCTCTGCGTGCTGTTACATCCGAGGTTCGGGTACTGTCGTGTGTGTGCTCGGACAAATTGGCGCTCTTTCGGTTGCCAATTATTCTTGAGATAAAGGCGTTCCGGCTCCCGAATTTCTGCGAGCAGCTCGCCTCGCCGTTCTTCAAGTCGCGCCTCATCGGGAGCTTGTATGTAATCCCAAACGAACCGAAGTAGCTCTTCCCTTCGTTCCTTCGTCTAACAATCGCTTCTTGAAGTTCTCTGCGGCATGCCATTCACAGAGCTGCAATATTTGCCCATCTTCACCCTGAGGATCAGCTCTCGCTTGGGACGCCGCCATCGCGGCAGCGAGCCCTTTGGTTTGATCCCCGAGAACGACTTGAGGTGGTGGGCAATCGTACCAGACCAGTTCTGCCAATTGAGCATTCACAAATTCGAAGGCTTCAGCTGATTCAGATGTTATAAAGGCGAAAGCCAGAGGAAATGTCTTGCCTGTGTTTGTGATTCCCACTATGACAGATAAAGGCAGGTGGAGGCAATTGGTGTTGAACGTCGCATCGGTTTGCATGAGGAATCCGCTGACGAATCTTCTACCCAGGCGGATCTGCTCGGAAGAACAGAAGAACAGATGCTCGAGTACTCGCGCTGTCTGTCGTCCTTGGTCGTCAAGAAGGTATTTGAAGAAGCAACGAACACGGAAGTCCTCGAACTCCAAACAAGTGAGCAAGACGTCAAGCGCTTCTTGACTGCTGCGTCTCCTTCAGACCGGCTCAGGTTGTAGAACTCCTTTGCAGAAAGACAGTTGCCTAAGCCGTGTTGGTCGAGAATCCGGGTTGATTCAGTTGCTGACAGGCCGGCAGTCCGATGCGCGAGGGCCAGATCGACTGCCGCAGCCCGCTCTGGGATACGGGATCTATGGCAGGCGTAGTGGAAGGGATTTTGAAGTGGCGGATGCGTATGGTACGCGTAAGTGAAACCGACCACCCAGCCTTTTCGCTCTTCTATCCCTCCGCGGCCGCTCCGGATAGTTTTGTAGGAGACATAAAGACTATAAGGACACTCCTTGGCCTTGGTGTACGTAAGCTCCTTCTTTCGGTCCCCTCCCTCTGTGACGATGTCCGGCAGCTTTCGAGTATTTCGGGTACCTCTACCGTGATGGATACAATTCACTCGTCGCGTACCTTGCTGGCAGTGACCAGAGCGAAACCCTGGGTGAATGCATAGTTTTGGAACCAGTGAAGGGCTTCCTCGGGGCTGTTCACTTCGTCACCGGTAACAGGAGCGCGGAGATGCTCTTGCGGTAGGGCTTCTACAGCTTTGTCGAAGCCGGAGCGGACATCATCGGGAGGCTGTCGCGGTACTGGATCTCCATCGCGTTCGCGTTCGCGTCGGACGAGATGCTGGATCTCCATTGAACCTGAACAACGCGATTCTTATTGCGACGCGCACCCTAGCAAGGGGCGATGAACGATTATTCCCGTTCAGGTTGTAGTCAAGGCGCGATGGCTTTTAACCCATGCTTAGCGCGATAATCCCTGCAATATGTCTGTCCGAACCTGTCTGTCCGGAGCCATCCCGTCGCAACGTTGCGCAGGTTTTCTGCCTCGTATATAAGGACGTCGCCGTACGAGTGACCGACGAGCAATCTATCGTCTTTAGGATGTAATTATATATATGTCTGGATTGCCGATTGCATAATGACGATTCACTCAATATAACGCCAATTAGGGACGCGATACGCTCTAATATTTGTTCTGGAATAAGGAACTGTTTGTAATATAGTAGTGTCGGATTGGTCGAGTAGATGAAATGGCTGTTTAGACGGAAATAGCGATAGGTTGCAACATCGGCTTTGGTTTGAGTTGCTTATGCAGCCATATTGCCCAAGATTTCTGCGGAAACTTGAGTTTCCGTCATGGCGAAGTACTAGTGCTCTTACATGTGATTTAAGCACCTTAGCGGAATAGTGGAGTCTTCGTCCGTGGCTGATCTATTCTCGTCCTCTTTGTTGTCGGCTCTGGTTCCAACCGACAGCCGGACGATCAGACATCCGAGCCTGGCCGTGTTGTTGTAGTATAGAGATTCCGGAGCGTCTTGGGTCTCCTTCGAATACTTTAGCAGAATCCTCACTGCCAGCTCTTCTCTAGGGAAAATGCATGACTGCTTCACTACTAGTCCGACAAAGTTTACTAACGTATCTAACGGCTGCCGCTTGAGGAACCAGTATGTAAGCTACCGGTGGCTCATGACAACACTCTCTATTGACTTGGGGCAGCTGTTTCTGGATTGGTCCCCCTGAGAAGTGGGGTTTGAGTGTGTTGGAGGAGGAGAGGCGCGCGAGTGAGTGAATAAGTTGCCATTCGTGCGGATACATATGGAGACGAGCAGGGACGACCATTCCTTGTCGCCACTAGCACACATGCTCCAGTTGCCTGGGGACAGAGTAAAATGGGCAGATAGCTGGCGTGAGAATAGTGTTGCTCCTGCAAAGCTGAAAGCGGCGGTTAGGAAGAGCGCCGGATTGTTGGCTAGCGTTGGCTTTCTACTATGGAGGCCGCAACTGGAAGAAGATAACGATACTGTTCCGCTCGGAGAGACTAACTTATGCCATATAGGGCATAGACGTTGAGCTACTTACGGTTTCTCTCTTCTGTCTCGAGTCTCGACAGCCCCACACGTGCTTCTTGCCCTTTACATTCTCCAACCTTGTTAAATGTCAGTGACAGGCCTGCTTGAAAGCCACATTCTCCGAGGGCTTAGCGTCCTATCCTCAGCAGCTCAAGCACAGACTATCGCCGTGTGAAGCTATTTGATCCATCGTTGCAGTCAGCTCGACCGATATCCCTACTCTCTAGAGCCTCCCCGTCGTGATTGTAAACTTAATCGCAGCCTTCTCTACCTGCGTATCCGGGACTTAGTTCTTCAGGTCATGCGCAATTTTCCTCTTGAAAGTACGATAGGTTTCCCAGCTTATCTCTGCGCAATAGAGCATGATTTTTTGTTCCCGCCATCTATTTCTACGATTTCTTGCATCGGAAAAGAAAATGCTCTACAGATTTTAGTGTCTGGCGGTTTAACTGTAATCACCCATCGGACTCTACCGCTCTGGCCATATGCAGCAAATTGTTGATCCTCGCCATGCCCGTGCGCAGCTGCACCAGTCAATACGTCGGTTTCTTTTCTATTGAGTGTATTATATAGGGTGCGCGAATGACTGCGTGGTAGTGCTTATTCGATGCTTCTGGAATATCTGCTAACGTCTTCCGGAAGCTTCCTTTGGTGGTGCTTGGCTATCGCTAACCTCGCCATCGTTGCTCGAGATGAGATTTCCCGGCCTGCACCCCTCTTCCTTGCCTTTGTGTTCAAGGCTGAGAATAATGAAGACGGATTCGATGTCACCTAATCATCACACTCGCTGAGGGTAAAGCCACGAGAGTTCAGGCCACATATTAACATTGAATAGGACCATTACCCCGGTCGACGTTCTTTGGAACTGATGTCCCAAAAATAAGACCCATCAGGCCACACGACAACACCAGCAGTCGACTCCTCCGTAATCAACATGAAATAGCGGTCGTCGCTACTAAGTAGGTTAGGACGAGAGTGGGAAAGGATGTCGAGAGGGATGATAATATTTGGACGCTTTCGGAAGAAGCACAAGGTTCTCACGGTGACGAAACCCAGAATTATTGACGCAACTACCCGAAATTTGGGAAAACGAGTAATAGACAACATGTATTTTGCGGGTCAAGTGCCTCGCGCCAGCCAGCTGCATCAAAGGCCCCTGCCAACGGCACCGCCTGTAGCTAGCTCATTTCACCATCGCTTGGACATTTCCGCAAACACCCGCACACAATATACGAGTGCATCCACTTATGCCTCGAGATAGAAATGCAATAGGGGATATATAAGTTCAAACAGCTATAAAACATTACCATTGTCATCACCTCACTACTTATGCTGATAAGGCCTGTACTTGTCTTAACCAAACTCGTCTTTTTTTACACTCTAGAAGCACCAGTCACGACGCGTCATGTTGATCCTACTCGCCCTAGCATGGGCGGTTGCGGCCAAAAACTGCAAAAATATCACCGTGCCGATATCCATCAGCTCGAGGAATAGTGTCATCAATCTGAATATCCCCAAGACTGAGATCGAAGTCACAAACATGCTCCTGGAATTCAGCAAGCGAAATACAAACTATTCGCAGAGCATCATTACAGGCGTAAGTGGCGGTGGCCGTCGAGTTGTGCCGGTATGTTCGATAGCTGACCGGTAGGTGTACGAATGGCAGCACACTTCAATCACGAAGGACTATAAACTTGCCACTACCTACTGTGAGCCTGAAAATGGCCCAGGCCACACACTTCAGGTTCTGACTCACGGCCTTGGTTTCGACCGGAGCTACTGGGACTTCTCGTACAACAACTACAACTACAGCTACGTCAACCAAGCAATCCGCCAGGGTTACTCTACTCTCTCCTGGGATCGGTTGGGCGTTGGCCAGTCATCTCACGGCGACCCCCTCTCCGAGATTCAGATCGCCCTCGAGACTGCTGCTCTGAAAGCTCTCACAGAACGAGTAAAAGACGGCAAATTGGGCGATGTCAAGACCAAATTTTCTAAGATGGTGCATATTGGTCATTCTTATGGCTCGGCCATCACCTTCAGCCTCTCCAGCATGTATCCTAACATCACCGACGGCATCGTCCTCACCGGGTTTAGCCAGAATCCCAGTTTCGTAGCGAACATCGCTCTCGGCGGCAACTTCGCTCCCGTCAAGGAGAATCCGGTCCTCGCCAACAAGTACCCCGAGGGATACCTCGCCCCCAAGTCCTCCATCGACGTACACATCATTTTCTTTGCTCCGGGCGACTTTGACCCCAAGGTTCTTGATATTGTCGCCTCTGCCGGCCAGCCCGTCACCCCTGGGGAGATCCTCACGTTTAGTACCATCGGCTCTGAGAGCCAGTTTGGCGGCCCAGTCCTAATAATAACTGGAGGCAAGTACTGCTTCATTCTCATAAGCCGCAGAGGAGCGGCGCAAATAGAATTTCTTCTGGCCCTTGATATCGTTGACTAACAGGCGCAAACAGAAAAAGACATTCCCTTCTGCGGTGGCGACTGTTTCAACGCTATGTCCGTCAACGGCAGTGCTCCGGACCTGCTTGAAATGTCGAGACCAAACTTTGAGAAGGCGTCCGTTTTCCAAACGAAGGTAGTTCCAGGGGCTGGCCACGGTCTTAACCAACAGTACTCCTCGGGTTTTACCTATAAGGTGATCCTAGACTTTTTAAGCCAAACATGTAAAATGCACTAGCTATCCGAGACATTACGGAGGAAGAGCCGAGATAAGTCGGAGAATAATGAGGCATAAAGAAAGCATCTCTGCTTATACTGGAGAAAGAGGGAATAAGACTTAAGACTTCTTAAATGCATAATATGCATAATTTCTTTCTAAGAGCAGGAGCTGGAACACGCCTTATATTTAATTTGCGGCTCGTATGCAGCATACTGCATATATAGTGAAGCAAAATATGTAATGTATATATGGACGGCAGACCTACACTTTGACTGGGTTATCTCCTGAAACCAGTCCACTGGAAATCTGGAGCCCATGCGCCTATATGATATTGAGCTTCAGCTTTACGCGCTCTTCTTGGGTTAACTGCACCTGGGTAGCCAGATTCATTCTGCAAGCAACTACACTGTGGTCGGAGCACGCAGCGCCTTTACACCATATAACTAGGATGGATGACATACCGGACAACGGCCTAGATCCTTCATTTACATTACCTTCTTGAGGCATGACCTATGAACTCGGGGCGCTACCACTGTTTGACTACCCGCTTACAATCCCTAAACTAACTGCAATAATCTTGGAGGCATTATCTTATGGGGATCAGACTGCCCCTGCAGACTTACTGACATGCAGGGCTTTAAAGTTGACTAGGAGCTGTAACCAGGAAAGAGGTTGTTTCTTAGATTCAATTGACGCCTATCAGTATACGCCTATTGTCGCATATCGAACCTGCCCAGAATGATTACTCATAAATTTCAATATTGCGATGCAATACTGCTGTTACCTGCCCTGCAACGGCTGTATGAACAGGCAACGAGCCTTTCTTTTATATATAAAAGAATGGCACTATTTCATGCATTTGTTTGTTTGCTTCTTGTTCTTTAGACAGTTTCTAATCAATTGCCTTGGGCCATCTCTGACCCATGTAAAGCCGATCTGTGTAACATGGCCAAAGTACTTAGGAATTTTGCAGCGTCACCAGAAGGCAATCAAGCAGAGACCTTTGACCCACTTTTCAGGTCGGCTACCATCAACAAGCCATATTAGCAAACTCGACCAGGCAGTCGGCAAGCTTGTATTTGGTTTGGGCACAGGATTGGCGTTTTGGTGGTAATAGAGTACACTCCCATCAGATTGATATAAATAAAGGGCAAAAGAAGCCGGAGGATCTGTCAGAAGTTTCAAAGCAGAATTGCCTTTTGTAACACTCCTTTTGGTACACTATAGTACTACAATGCAGTTATTGCTATGGAAAGATCCGAATTCAGGATACCTGTCCAAGTCCCTTGGTAGGAGCCGGGTTAATGCGTTGCAGTATTGCAACGCCCAGGATAACGTCAAAAGAGACAGATGTTTGAGACGTCCAAGAGACCAGCACTAGTTCCAAGTTGCGCCAAATACTACTATTGATTCGCAATGCAAAATGATGACTGGAACATGGATGCGTGCTGCTGCGGTTGGTACGGGGTGCATACATGGCAGCTCTACGTGCATTGACTGAAGCTATGGCGTCTGGTGCAGAACAGTTGTAATGGAACGAAGGAGTAGGAAGCTGTTTCCAACTGCCCTTGGCCGACACGGGTGTGTTAGTTATCTGGGGTGGCCTTGCCGATGGCCTAGCTACATTCTGCGCCTCAGCATTAGTGGATGTATGGCCAGCCTACTGCTCTGCAGTGTAACACCGCAGCTCCTGATCTACATGATTGTTGTAAGACTTCCTTTTTTCCTTGGTTAGGCTAATGGAAAGACGGTGCGATGACGATGGCACCAATGGGAAAGCGGAAATTCGATGATGTGTCGGAAGACGCGGGCGTCATATCTGTATGTGTCAATTGCAGCGCATTCCACTTTTGCCTGCGTGGCAACAGTCTTCGCGACAGTTACGGTGACTGCGCGCGGTGCGAGGCTACAGAGGAAGCTTTCAAAAGCCGTTGCGTGCGCTAAAGCAACCCTTGCAAAGAAAAGAAAGAAAGAGAGCCCAATGTCTATTTCCCTTGGTAAATGTTATGAGTAGTTTGGCCGTTATAGCAAAGGAATGTAAGAAAAATGTTCCTAAAATATTATTTAAAAAGAGAAAGCAAGATTAAAAGAGCCACCATAGAGGTAAATTTCCTAGTATATATATATTATATATATTTCTAATTAGAACGTAGGAATTAATACGGAGGAGTAAGGAGAAGGAAGGACAGCATTCAAAAAATAATATACAGTAAAAGAAGTTTGGGACATTCTTTCTTTTTCTACGGGGGCTGCTTAGCGCGCGCAACGGCTTCTGAAAACTTCCTCCGTACGTCTTTTCGATTTGCCTGGCTTCTGGGCGCGGCGCTAGGTGTTCGACTCCCGCGTTCTGGCAAGCCAGGAATCTTGGCGGAGCCGCCCGCGATCCCCGATGGGGAAAGGGGGGTGTGCGTTGCAAGTCTCGGTCGGCAGATAATCTATGTTTCAGTTGATGCGCACGTTCCACTTTCGCCTGCGTGGCGCAACGGTCTTCGCTAGTCGCTAATTACACGATGAGTTGGCTGCGGCTGGGGCAAAGTCTAGCAAATAGAAATGCACGCTGTCAACTACCGAGCCCTGGGGGAGAAATCGCCCCTAGTCCCTCGACTTCTGTAGACACGCCCCCGACGCGCATGCCCCGTGGTTGATGCTCGGGTGGGGAGGCCCTTTTCTTCTTCTTCTCCACGCCGCATCGGAGCCATAGCATCATGCATCATGGCTTCCACACGCCCCGGGGTGCGCGGGGGCGTGGACAGGGAGACGGATGACGACTCGGGCAAGTTTTGAGGCTGAGAACCAGCTCTCCTGCCCGGTCTGGTCTGCATGATCAATCCACCCAAGCCGACCAATAAGGATCCATTGGCTACGCCGCCATCATGGCCGTGTCTTATATTTCCTCTTATCGTCTAGTAACAACCCTTCATCCGCACCGGCACCACTCGTTTCGCCCTAACTATTTTAACTTAGCCGTCTCCCCTCTATATCTCTCCTCGTAAGTCTTTTGTTCCTATAAAGTCGGTCGTTGCAAATTCCCCGCCGCCCCCCACCGCCTTCCGCTTTAGGCAAGCCCCTCCCCTTTTAGCCCGTCGCTATATACGGGATTGCTATAAGAATACCTATACTCCCTCCCCCCCTCTACTCGATTCTCCTTTTCTTCCTCTCTCTCTCTCTCTTACCGTTATCCCTCCCTATCGGCCGGCTATAGTTAATATATAGCCCCTTCCTTTATCTAACTCTACTCCGCTTATACGACCTCCTTAACTCCTACTCTATATATTTAGCTAAGTTCTAATACCCCTAGGTTCTATATATCCGCTTTATTAGCGATATTTTTAGTCCCTTTAGTCCTTTAACTTAGCTTAGGGGAAGGGAAAAGGCTCCTTTTATTACTTTAACGCCCTAAATTAAAAGGGGCCTTTACTCGCCGATATAGATAGACTCTTAAATCTAGGCCCGAACTAACCGGCATATAGCTCTAGCTATTCGGCATATAGAAAAAGTAGGTAGTATAGCTAGTTAAGGCGTAGCGCCGATACCGTAAATTTAAGTATATATATTCCCCGCGCCTACCTTACGTATTATATTAAGAGCCGCCTATACTAAGGAAAGTAAGGTTATCGTAATACGTAGGAAATAGTTAATTATACGCTTAGCGGTATTATAATAGTTATGTCTTTAATATAGGCCCTCCCTATATAAATCTTACTATGCCTCTCTTTTATCTTAGACGTCTTCCTTAACCTTATCCTACTATATAGCTAGCTTATATAAGGGTATTATTCTCGCGAAGAGAGATATAAGAAGTATATATAAAATGCACGAAGGTAAAAGTAGAAGTAAGGGGCCGGACAAGCAGGGCAGAGATATTTAAATCTTACGGGGGCAGTAATTATAGTAAGGGAGTAATTATTATATTGCCTTAATTATTCTTCTTTCCTCTATCTAACGCCCCTCTTTATACCTATCTAGCATCTTAATTAATAAAGAAGATCCTACTTAAAGAAGCTACTAATATCCTTTTAACTACCGAGCTTTTTACCGGTTTTCCCCCTCTTTTTCTAGCCGTTACTAGCATATCTATCTTATCTTTCGCTACCTCTATAGGAAGCTATCGCTACTTCTACTTCTCTTTATATATTATATACTAGTCCCTCGGTACGGGGCTAGTACGTTAACCTTACTATCTACCTAGATCCGGTATAGGTTTAATAAGTAATTAAATAGACTAGCTACTATACGTAATTAAACGTATTATATAGACTAGCTACCGTACGAAATTACGCGCGTTAAATATAGACTAGCTACTAGTCTTATAAGTTAAAGTAAGAGTAGTAATAACTATCTATATTCTTCTCTACCCGCCTAAGATCTAGCGGGTTCTCTATCTTCTATATATACTATAGCGAGCGTAAGACCTTACTTAGGGCTTTAACTAAGTAATATCTTAACCTTATAATCGTATAACGGTAGTATAGTATATTAGCGGTATTTCCTAGTATTTTCCCTAGGTAAGTATAGGTATTTCTCTATAATTTCCCCGCTATATTCTTATAGTAACTTCTTAAGGAAATATCGGTATAATCCTTAAGGAGCTATTATTACTTAGGAAATTATAGTATATTCCCTATATAATATATCCTTAGGGGAAATCTCTATAAAATATCTATATAATCCGCTTAGTTATTATTTCTAGGATTTCTAGGTGATTTCCTAGAGTTTACTTAGTAGCTTCTAGGTTCCTTCTTTTATAGGGAGCCTTAAGGAGTTAGGGGTAACTTCCCTAAGGGAGGCCAATATCGTTATAGGTACCTAGATTATCGACTATAAGGTATCCTATAATAAATACTTAAGGCGAAAGAATTAACTAATATCCTTATTAGTCTCCTACGGTATTTAAGCGGGAGTCGCGCTAATAAGGAATCGTAGTAAAGTTATATAGATTTCTAAGGTTAGTATAAGGAATAACTTATATCTTATCTAAAACGTAACTTAATACGACTAATATTAAGGGCGTAAGGCGG